GCACCGGTACTCTCGAGCAGGGGTCTCCATCGAGCCTCTGGTCACCACTTTCACACGAACTACTGTTTGCCTTCACAGCACTAAACCCATCTGACGACGTGTTCCGTTTTGAAGCACTCAATGTAACCTCTATTTGTAGCTTAGCGTTGTGTTGCCTATCATGTGTCGGCTTCTTGCAGCGTCGAGTGACGCCTTGGCAGGTACATGTCCGCTGTACGATCAAGTGATGGCGCGCTTTTTCGTAGCTCTGCGTGTGATGTCATACACCAGCCTCTCTCAAACTCTACAGCTGTGGCTGAAGCCTGCGCAATTTCCTCATCATCATCTTGTAGAACTTTGGTTTACTTTGATTAGACGCTACTTGAGTAATAATACACCTTCCCCTCGAATAACCGCCGAGCAGTCCGCGAGACAACGCACCTATCGACAAAAGCGAACGATTCCGAGCTGGTTGCCAGAACATCAACCTTGATCGACCCGCTCGAATGCGAAAGACAGACTCTCCGCTGGCTCGGCAGAAGATCCGAAGAGCTACTATCAGAGTCTGAGCAGGGACTCGGTGTCCGCTCAGGTGAAGACGACTGCCAGGAGGACTGTACCTTGCCGCCGGACGCAAGTCCGTGGGCTACGGTACCTTCGATGCACACTGCCGACGCCAAGCATGCCGCACCTGTGAGTTGCAGGCTCGGGTGGGGTTTGCCCATACTGAAAGCTTGGACATGAACGTCCGGCGTGCCTTCCCGGCCATGGTCATCTGACTGAGGAGATGAAATGATGGCCAGCTTCGGTGTACCACGGACCTTTGCAGCAGCGTCTACATCAGAAGCAAGACCCATCAAAACAGCGCCAGTACATCGTATTGACTCCATGTCCTTGAGGTAGACGGCGGTGTCTTTGCTCCCTCTCCTTAGATTTGGCGGTAATGTTCGTTCGTCGACTAGGATGAAAGGATTCGCTGCGTCTATCAACGTCGCCTTGACCGAGAAGCGATTGCCGTCTTGTCCTTTCACATGAATAGTATCACACCGTCTCCTCGTAGGAAAGAGAGTTCCGGTCATGCTCCCTGCAGGATCCACAAAGGCCACTTTTACTTCGCTTCCGGTTCCCTTGACGCCTGGTATCGCGAAGTCTCCGTCTTCATCAAACGACCCGTCCTCGTCTACCTGAACGGTATCGACAATGAGCCGCGAAGTGTTCGTATTGAAGATCCGTACATCGAGCTAAAGAAGAATGAGTATCCTATCCGTCTCAATTACAATAGGAGGACTTACCGTCTTCTCTCCGGGACTTGCACGCACTAACCCCTCTTGTAGCGCAAATGGTCCAACACCAGCGCACATGTTTCCACAGTTTCCGCTGAAGTCGACCGCCTCCTGACCCACTGCTACTTGTACAAAAGTGTAATCAATATCGACGCCCATTCGTGACGATGGCGAAACAACTGCAACCTTGGAAGTCGTTGAAGTCGCCCCTCCTACTCCGTCAATCTGTCGAGCGTCTGAGCCTTGGGAGCCCATGGCGGCAAGTAATGGGCCAGCCCATGCTGATTGGGAAGATGGCAAGTCGTGACGATGGATGAAGAGACCTTTTGAAGTACCAGCACGCATCAAAACGGCTGGTAGGCTGTGTCGCACTCTTTTCGGGGCGCTTTCGTGTGCCATTGGGAGTTCAGGTATGCGGATCGGCGAGATGTGTGAGACAGTCGAGGCGTGTGCCTTTTGGAGAATGGATGGTTTGAGAATTGTGCGTAGCATCTATAGAGGATGATGCTACGGTTCAAGGTGGTGAAGTTGATGAAGTTGGTGCTTCGTTTCTAGCTTGAAATGTGTCATCATATCGGGCAATGCACTTCTCTATATATGTCTTCATTCCAAAAATGTTCGGGTAGAAACGACCAGGAGTACGGGCCGCAGTGTATTCGACGGGTAGGCATGAGACTCTTCCCGTTAGCGCGTTAGATGCCGTGGGATCTTGACATGCTGCGGAAAGCCTAGCCGCGGTAAAACCTCGGCTTTCTTCCCGCGGGACTTGTTGCCCCACAGGATCCAACGCAGTGATAGGAAGAGCATCTTCTTGTGTGCGCTCGTCTCGTGATGATCCGATGACAATGACAATGACTTTGGATGGTACTTTGGGTGACAGGAAGAGCCTCATGTCGCCATACCCATCTCTTACATGTCCCAATTCATGGTTGGGAATTGATCAAGCTCTGATCCGTTGAAACCGTAAAGGAGGTCATCCACTGAAAATGGTTGCTCACCGAATGGTTGTTGTTGGTCCTGATACGCCCAGTTACCAGAATTTCCGTAGGGCATGTTTGCCGTCTCCATGGTGTTGTACGCCGATGGCGGCACTCCAGGTACAGCCATGTCGGCAGCAGGGTCTATTGAACCTGGCTGCCCCATATGCGACGGGTCTTGCTCTCGAACAAAACTCTGGATGATGCCATCGATGTCGAAACTTTGCAAGCTTGGTTCGCGATCCATCGATCTGCTCAACGAAACATCTGGAGTGTTCTCGTGATTATCCTCGCCACCACTGCCGATATGTGTGTCGTTCAGGTCAGGCGCAACAACACCCAGTCTCTTCATCAAATTTTGAATAATGGCATTGGCGCGTCGTACAGCCCAATTCGTCTCTTGGTTCTCGCGGAAAACGGCTAAGCAAGTCTCTAGGCTCTTGTGAGCTTGGGAGCCTGCACCTCGCTTCGCCGCAATACGGGCATGCACAGTAGCAGCGACATAAGTCGCATAGGAAATTAGATAGGGAGCTCTCCGCACACTGAACGTTTTGTCGTATGCTCTCAGGAGCTGTACAATAGCATCCGCCGCAGTGGCGCACGCCATAAACGAGTTCACGGAGATGGCGCGTGATGTATTGTAGAGATGCCCGTCTGCGACGAAGGGTCGGTGCAAGAGGATTGTGAGAACATGATACAAGGCGCTAGTGTTGTTTCAGTATATCCGCGGCATGTGCAATATTGTGATCACTTACTGTAAGCTTAGGACATGCGGAGGAGGTGTCGCGGCTACTTCCGCTACATCTACCGTGAGGTGTTCGGGCAGAAGCCCACGCCATGTTATCAGCTTTTGATGGATGCTCTCCAGCTTGGAAGACAGCTCTGTAGGGCTTACGTCGAAGCTTCTTTCGGTATAGATGGTGCTGAGTATATCGCTCAGAATGACCGAGAGATGGCAAAGGTGTCGAAACGTCGAGATACTATATGCTGGCGAGCCTAGATAGATGGCATCTGGTTGCGTGGAATAGGAGAAGGGCGTCCAATGTTCGAGTTCCTCGTACGTATCGAGGAACTTGGTGGGTACGAGTGTATCTGTCATGCTTACTGGGCGACCTTGATAGAGGCTTTGGATTTTGTCGACGACTGCGCTTTTAGTTAGTGTAATGATGAGCAATATGAAGACTATACCGACCAAATGCTGCCCAGAAAACGCGACGCCGAATTTCATGATCCTCATCAGAAAGCTTACGGTATCCTGCAAATGCAGGCGTATCGACATGAAGACCAAGGTCAACGATCATGCGAAATGCCAACCCAGCGTACAACCAGGCAGCGCTACGCTCATCGCCAAGAGCAAACAATGAGTTGGTCATCACTAGCAACGCTTGAATTGTTGTGATTTCGCTCTTGTCCAGAGCACCTCCCAGGAGCTCTCTCACTCTTTCACGAAATTGCCAACCAGCAGTGCGGACATCATCTGCTACTCGGCGAACCTCATGCCGTGGACTGAACTTGCTTGCGCCGAAGTAGATGGCGTTGAGGAGAAGTTTGGAGAAGTATGGACCGCCACATGCCATATCACGCATGAAGGCTGGGCGATAGGTAGTAAGGAACGAGTGGTGTTGCCGGTTCCAATGTAATGATAACAGATGCATGCCAAGCTCAGGTTCGACACCGTCAAAATCGAGCTTCATAAGTCGAAAGTTGACCGTCTCAAGTTGTCTCTGACGGGCAGCTTCAGCAACAAGACCCTTTTCTATCCATTCATCCGACATCTGGGGTCGTACTTCAGCCGCATATCGATCATTTGTGCCTTCGTCAAATAAAGTGCTTGTGCGTCCATGGTAGCTAGAGGAGCCATTGGGAGCGACAACAATGCGCGACACGCTCTGAGGTGTAGTTGCAGGGGTCTGTGCAGCAGGCGCAGAAGCGGCGATCGATGGCGTTGACTCTGATGTTCTGTCTGATGCTCTTTCGGATGTCCTTTCTGCTCGCGGCGTCTTGCGCGGACGACTGGGTGCATGCTGTGCGTCATCTATGGATATAGGCTCGTAATGGCAAATCGTCTCATGTGTCTTGCAACTTGCGCAGATCGGCTTCTCGGCACTGCATTTGATCTACCAGCCTCAGTATGCAGCTCCTCGACCATGACATGCAGGTGTCGAGCAACGAACCTTCCTCCGTCGGCAGAACGTACATGCCTCGGCAGCCCTTTTGCGCGTGCGGCCCGTCGCCGGCCCATCCGAAGGCATCGCGGTATGCGATGACTAGCACGACAGGAATGTTGGAAGGGGATGTTTCCGCCGAAGTTCGAGAGGTGAGTAAGTGGAATCGGAGAGGCCGCGCAGACGCAGTTGCCGACCCCGGATGATCTGCCGCCGGGCGCACCTGCCGCAGGACAGACTACCCGAGCTTCTTCGAGCATAATACAGCTATTTAGAGCACACAACGAGCCATGAGCCTTCGTTGATTAATCCAACGTGATCGCACGAGCCTTCAAACATCACTTGAGAAAGAAGAAACACCAGGGGCGTAACGGTAGTACTATTTCCATTCCATCTTCCAGCTAATGTAACTATCCTGATACAATCATACAAGGGACCAACTTCCCACAAACACCATACCTCACAAGAACACCAAAACACCAGTCAAATTCCGTCTCCAACGTGAAAAGAGTCATACATGAAAAGGGTATCCAGCCAACACCGACAGATGATACCAAGCCCCAAAGAAGGTCGGAGAAACACAGAATGTTGAACTTTTAGGCAGATACAGACACCTCAGGTGGTCCCTGGAACATGGCCTCAGCGGGCGCGTCGGGATCTCCTGTTGGTGCTGCTTGAGTCTGGGATGCCAGCTCGCCACTAGCACCAGTCTCTGCCCATTGTCCCCAAAGACCACGCTTAGCGCGAATGCGTAGAGGGCCACCAAGCTCGTTAGCTGGTTGCTCGACTTTGATGGCATCCTTGGTCGCCAGTACCAGCATTTCAAAGAACATCTTCGTCGCGTCTGTTCGTGATGTGCGGGCCTCTGGGAACGCATCCTGGAAAACGATGCTGTTCTTCTGTCGTACCGACTCGCTCTCTTCAGCTTCGGGTCCAAATTGTTCTCGCAAGAAATGGACAGCGTGCTTTGTGCCTAGCGATACGGGCCCGGCTTCGTCGGGATGGACGAGCGGCGCGGTTGTGTCGTCGAAGTTGTCTGGAACGGGCGAGAAGATGTCCTCTTCGTCATCACCAACCTGCTGGAAGCCAGGGTCGTCAGGAAGTTGAACAATGTCGTCGGATCCCGCAAGGGTTGGGTCGTTGTCGCCACCAAGGCCAAGGTCACCGCCTCCCAAAGTCGGCTCATCCTGCTCAAATTCCAGCTGCAGTTGTGGCGTCTTCTCTCCTTCGGCTGCGGCCTCGTCTTCGGTAGCGTCATTGTCGGCAATTGCACCACCACGCTTGCGCTTCTGGGCTGGGCGTGAGACAACTTCTAAGGAAAGGATACCTCGAAGCTCTGGAGCCCATCCTTGGCTTCGTCCGTCGCCCAGTATGCTCGAGATAAACCCTCCGGACTTTTGCATGTTCATCAAAGCCATCAGAAGAGGGTCGCGAGGCAGGAACGATGCAGGCTTGAGGATCTTCTCGCGGTTGTTCTGTTGCTCCCTCAACTGGTGACTTGAGATCATAGTTTCGGCATCAGCTGCAATGACCCTCCTGCGCTTGGCGCGGGCTTGATGGATTGATTCTTCCTCTTCCTGCTCTGGCTCAAACACGGTGACGTTCTGTTCGGCAACCTCCTGTTCAAGACGTGTGGCCTCCTCCTCTCCCAACTCGGAGAGCGGTGACTCTTCACGTTGTCGCACAGGGAAGTCGCCGGCGATAGAGCCTGCAGGAAGTTCGGTGTCCATGTCCATACCGCCCATAGTAATATCCAGGTCATCGTCCAAATTGAGTTCATGGCCGCGTGCGAGTTCAGTGGGAGGATCTTCGCCAAGGTCGATGCCGAGATCATCGTCATCCACTATCATGTCTTTGCCTAGCCCGGTAAAGTCTTCGGACCGGCGGCGTTCCAAAGGTGCGTTACGACCAACTTCAATGCTGGTACCCTCGTCGTAAGCGGCTGTCGGCTCCAAGTCATCATCCTCTCCAATGTCCAGGTTCAGGTCGTCATCCGGCAATTCCATGGGCTCTCCGCGCGCCTGCTCAATGCTGCCGGAAAGGAACTGGCTGTTGTCCCAATCGGGGACTGTGGTGTTGCCGAGGTTGAGGCTGCCGCTAAGAGGCTGGGAGAGAAGGAAAGAAGGGTCGGGCATGGGAGCCAACAGATCAAGATCGGTGATCTGATCCTGTAGCATGAGATTTGTGGGATTGGCGACGTGAGTCTGGGCGGGCGCATCGATGTTTCCGGGGCGGAAGGCCTGCACAAGGGTCAGAGGTGGTCATGTCACGCAGTCAAGCTTGGAACCTACCATCCTGATCTTCCATAGGGCTTCCTGACAGTCATCCTGTAGATAGTTGACCTTCTTGTTGTAGATGCGAACCTCACCGAGGAGCAACTGCGCGTTCAACCGCAATGCAAGCGGACCGCCAGCGGCCACCTCGGGTCGGATGATGACCTCGCAACTCTCTGGGATCTTGTGCTGCAGCACCTGGGCCTTGGTGAGCTTCTTCTGTTGGTTCGAGGCAAGCCAGACGTGTGCAAGCGCGCCCTGCTTGAATAGGAGGTCCTCTGGCAGAAACATGGTGGTGGTTGGGTAGATCGGTTTGTGGGCGGGGTGGTGGAGGAGTCGCGCTGTTGTTTACGTCGACGCGTCGCGGCCAAGTCGATGCGCGTGGCGTGAAAGCGCGCCGACAATGTCAAAATTGGAGCCCCGAAGTGCGCGCAGATGCAGCAATGGCAGTGATGGTCAAAAATGGTTGAGCGACGATGGTGTTGCGGATGCGCTCGGTCGTTGAAGGATGAATGAGGCTGGTTAGGGCTGGCTGGGATTAGATGGCAAACACGACAGCCCTCGCTTAGTCATAGGCCTGTCGCAAGACCAAGCCCAACTTCACCTTCCACGCACGTCATCTTCCATTCCATGCTACTTTCACAAAACAACAATATACTACACATGTAATTTGGTAGGCGATAGATGCATACATCCCGGCCAAGTAGTCAGACAAAGCAACGATTGCCTATGCGATTTGGACAATCGACTCAGTCCACTGTCTCATTGCCCACTGACTTCAGATGGAAGCCTCAGCAACTACTAGGTACCTCAGATCCGCCGACTCCACCTCAATCCTGGACTGCTCGCTTCCACATATTTCACATCGACCTTCCTCCCTCTGGCGGCAAACCCCTCCCTAAGCCACACCACCAACCGCTCGATCAACGGCGCACAGTCCACCAAAACGTTCTGCATACCGTGCCGATCACTTACCCTGATCCTAGGCCAAGCCTCGATCGTCAACGTCTGCAAACTTTCTATCTCCAGGAGATCTGCCAACTGGTAAATCGCAATGACATCTTCTAGCTCTCTGATGCGCGTTTGATCGAACGTCCATAGATCAAAGGTCCCTAGCGTTGTAGGAGGGATAACAACATCCTCAGCCCAGTTACATGAGTCAATAGTCATGTACCCAACTTCGAACTTCAATGCAACTTGCGTCAGCCCTGTACATCGCTTCATGAGCTCAATGTAAGTGTTGTTAGTCCCAGCAATTGGTTGGTAGCGGCCAAAGAGTTGGAAATCGAGTTTACGAATTGCGGCACAGCCTTGGTCGTCGCCTCCTAAGCTCTCGAGAAACATTGTAAATCGCACTACTTGCTCCCGGTAGATGAGGTAGAATTCGGTCGTTCGTAGAAGATACAGTGATACATCGACGCGCGTGGCTTGGTTCACGCGACAAAGTTGTTCGAGCCACTGGAGGTAGAAAGGGTCGCCTCCACGCCGGGTGTCTACGGGGCTGAAGTCCAAGGGCTGAGACTGAGAAGTAAGCTCCTCTGGGAGTACCGCATGGCGGTAGATGATCTCGCGGAGCTCAAGTGGCAGAGTTGGAAAAGGTGTAGTAGATTGCGCTGCAGCGTTAGTCGGGTTCATTTTGTTCATATGCTTGGTGGAAAGAGTGTAATAGAGAATTTCGTTTGTTTTCCGCAGTGCTCAGTTTGCTGTTTGCGAGAACAGGGGAAGACATGTCTTGCAGGTCAACTAATTAGTGTTTTGGTACTATTGGCTTCGTGAAGAGCACTGCTTCATGGTACCAGCACGCAATGCGATCAAGTTGAATTGGTCACTCCTTCTATCGTACACGCTCCCTATGCCTGCGCGCGCATCGCAACGAGTTTGTTATCGACGGGCGATGTCAGCAAAGGGGTCGTCAATTGACTGACAAATTTCGGACATCTCCAAGATGTTAACATTTCCATTGACCGTGTGAACTGGTACTGCTGGATGTGCACTTTGTCTAGGAATCTGCAAGTAGAGAAATTAATCGCGCAATAAAGTGACGCTCAGTGTCGAGTTTATTGAATGGGATGACATTGAATGGAGCGGAAGCTGGAATTAATGGCAGAGCGGCAGGAGACCGAGAAAGGAGATGAAGTGACGGTCGGCTGGAAACCTCTAATCCCTCTCAGCATAACCATGCATGACTGACTTCTGCTGCGACTTACTTCAGCATGCTGCCTGGATCTATCATGTTTCATAATGTTCAGTAAACAGTGGACTTCTGGTCCCTGTGGTCCTTGAAGTACGATAAGCGATGGATCCGCCCGCTGATCATCAAACCCACTGACACCCACAAGGCTGGAAGGCGGAATTCGGGGTGCAGAGTTGCCCGCAGGCAAAGTTGTTGAGACCCGATTGCGTTTGGCCGTGCGACGGGTGCGGATGCACCGGACGGTTTGATTAACGGTCGCAGATCGGGCGTCCAGAGCAACCCACTGCGAACCACTTGCATCTAGTTCTCGCACGATGTCGAAACTTCGACCGGTTTCGCAGTAACAGCAGTTCGCGTCTTCTGAGATCAGGCCAGATCTGGTGGATAAATCTTTCGCCGTGAGGCCATATCGATCTCGCGCATGTAGGAGTGCCGATCTTCATAAAAACGAACAAAGTCTCGAACGCGCACTCCGGCCTCCACTTCAGCCATCTTCTGATATCAGGTACGCTACCTTATCGGTGTCGCGACTCGCGAGCTTACGCCCGCACATGTTTCCGGTGTCGAGCGGGCCGGCTTATCATGTTCTGAGGCAGCAGGGCCGGGACCACATGGCACACATGCGCCATGATTACTGCCTCACGTAGGGTACGACTGCAGCACCACGTAATCGAAGAGGGCTGAAGTGCGACAGGCTAACGCCATGTGTGGGTCCTCTGGAGTGGCTTTCTTGGGTCTTGGTGCTGACGAGCGCACGGATGAAGTGGCCGTGCAAGTCTTGGACTCGTTGCCCACTTTAAGCCGCTTTCCAGAATTTGTTTGAAACGAGGTTCTACTGTGCCTGTCCCTGTACAGTCAACTTGGCTGTTTGAGTGATTAGTCGTGTGTTCACATGGACGTTATCCCGTGCAACAACCTGTTGATGGTCGCCTGAACAACCGCCGTGGTGGCTGAGCGTCACCGAGTACGTATGAGGTATGCAGGCGACTGCGAAGTGCCGGAATGGACGGGAGAGCGAAAAATCAAGGTTTTGACGCTAATTTGGGCGATGAACAACCAGGGCAGGGTCTCGTGCATGCGTAAGAGGAGACCCTGGCCATTGAGTAAGAGCGCACTGACCGCCGACATTCTGGCCTCGGGTCTCTCCACTGTATAATCTACCATGACACACACATCTTCTGGACGCGTCAACTGTCATAAGAAGTTGCGGCCTCCATCGTCACAGCTGATCTTCCACCTATCTCTTCCAAGTTCTTGAAACCTGTCAGCCATCTGTCTAATCTGCGCTTCATAGCTATAAGCCACGCATCGTGCATCTGCAGAACTTGGGCATCTTCACATTAACTCCATTCGGTACTCCATCACACTATTATTGGACCCATCCGCACGCTACCAAGACACGCCAACGGACCCCATCGATTACGGCTACTTTAACGCCCGAATACGCAATTACTACCCTGCATATCTTGCATTTGCTGGCTACATCATCGGGCATTCACAACCCACCGGCGCATATATTACGAAGTCTGCCCTCGGCTTCAGGATTGTCCAAGTCCAGCACACTGCAAAGTCTCTCGGTCGCAAGTCGCACACAGCTACACCACCACAACTACTCTACTACTCTACTACTCAACGACAACAATCAACATTCCACCAACCTCAACCACACCATACCACAATGTTCTCTTGCGCCAACTACGAGCGGGGATGCCGGGGTCGCTGCAACCGCATGAACGGACGATGCGATAGCTGTCACACACTCAACCTCCAAGTCCGCAGCAACAGCGCCTCATCCACATCATCCACCAACGGTCTACCATCAGCTGCCTACTCAGCAATGACCAACTCATTCGCATCGCTGTCACAACTGAACTCTCAATCATCGTCGACAAGGGCGCAATAACCGCCGGACCCTAGGCGTTCACCCTCATGACATTCGACGAATCATTCAAACATCAGCGATTTAGCGGCACAGTGTGCAGGCAACACTCTTCAGCTTCGACTTTGCGATTTGGGACACTTTATTGGAGCACATCGGTTTAGCATTTACACGGAGCGATCTTTTCTTTCAGTTGTATGATATACCATTTTCATTTTTTCATCGCTTTGAAGGACCACTGCAGGCGTTTGGCAGGGCATGCAAGAGGCGGAGCGCTAGGCAGAGTTTCCCTCGGAGGACTTGACAAACTCCCACCACCACAACAATCAAACCCAAATTACCTTACCTGCATCTCCTCATGCACTCGTGATTCTTTCCATGCGCAGAGCACCCTGTCGGCATCACACCTGCCACAATACGTAAGACAAGACTTTCTCCTAGCCCCACAGTCGTGTCTAGATCTCACCCTCATCCATCCGCCCATCACGCAAAACCCACAACCACGAGCCTTCACGCTCCAAGGCCCGATCCCTTTCTCTCCTTTCACGGCAATCACGGGTCCATATTTCCGTACAAAACGTCGCTCTATTTCCTTATTCCCTATAGCCTCTACACAGAATACGTCCGTGATGTCCCGTAGCTGGGGGACGCAGGCTAAAGAGCCCACTCTTTGTAGGAATCCAGACCACCGGCGCACGGAGTAGTAGGCAGGGCCTAGAAGTCGGTATCGATCGAACGTTGTGCTGGGGATCGGCTCGCTTGGACGGGCAGGTGGTGCAGCGCGCCTTTGGTGGCCGCTGCACTGTGACGTCAGTCGCGCTTCTCACCACGTCCTGCTTCGTTTCTCGCATGTGCGCAGACGTGCGTTTCAGCTCCGAGGCAAGCGGGTCCTCCACGGAGTCCACTCGTAGGCGCGGAGAGGTTGCGAGAGGCTTCTTTTCGGTGTGGTCATGTCGTTTTCTTTTGATTAAACTTTGACAGCGTCTGCTTTCCGACATGCTGCCGCGGGAACCAACCTCGCACAACGAAAGGTCTGGACCTCAGGTGACGGCAAAATGGTGCCGAGGCCAATAGACTCGTGCATGGTGGTTGTGATGCATGGCATTTTCGCATTCCCATGCCCGGGTTCATGCATTTGTGCCCATTGTTTCGCCGAAGGCTGCATCAAGCAGCCGTAAAGTGTGTTGTTGTTGTTGTCGCTGTTGTTGCCCAGGTGTAGTCGCGCCGATGTTTGCATGCGCCTTGCTGCAGTTACACCACCCCCAGCACCTCTACAGGGCATCAATGTTGACTCTTGCGGAACCCAACATGCGACGTCTTCGATCTTCCTGCTCGCCAAACCTGGCGCATGTCAAAGCTGCATCGTGTACGTCGAAGCTATGATGTTGATCAACAAAATCCTTCGCGCCCAATTTTAGCATCGTGATCGTGACAGCGATGGAGCTTCCACTTGCACTTCCTTTTGCTCTCGTCTCTTGCCAGCCTATCGGAGTCGATGACCCGAGGCTCGGACCTTGAGCACCGGCACTCGATAAGTGCGGTGACAAGCGAGTGCGAAGAAAGATATTAGTGCCATCGACTCGAGGGTCCATAAAACCAGTGAGTTGCTAGCTGAGCATAAGCGCGAGACGTGGCTTTTCGGGAAGGAAAGACGCTTGTTTTCCTACGTCATACCGTTGGAAAAGCTGAACCTGTCTCCACCATCGTGAGAAGTCTGGAACTTCAGACTCGGTCGTGCCGATGTTCTACCTACGGTTTGTGCAGTTCTTCTATCAATGAAGTCCTCAGTCTAGTAATCACGTGTTCTTAGTATTCACATTCCACCTCGGGCTGTCTGGGTAGGCATCCATCTGAGGAAGGAGCAGGTGTCATCGAACACAATGTCCACGCTACCATCCACCTGATTCACTTCAATGAAGATGAGTGATCACTATCCAGTCCGCACTCTTAACAATCATCTTGTCTTCACGCGCAACAATTCCGGGTTTCTCTCGGTGAAGCAGCTGCGTAATCACTTCATTGAAGCCACCAACTAGCAAAGCCTCAACGACCGTTGGGATACTCACCTATAGAACCCGTGCACAACGTAGTACAAGACACCTGAGTCACACCTCCTCGTGTCAACAAACACCAACTATTCTTGAGAGTATGACTCCCCAGAATATCCCCGCTGACAAAATCTCTCACGAACTACCGATATCGCTACCCGGACCGGAAAGGCGTCACGTGGAAGCGCGACAGTAGGACAGGTGAGCTGAATAGGGTATGCATGACGAGCTGGATAAGCCGCATAACACTAGTCGTTGCAATATCGAACGATGCAGCTTATAGAGCTACGCAGTAACACGGTCCGATGAACCTATGGCTGTCCAGCGATGTGCTTACTCAACCACGTCTTGTGGTGCGGGAGTGATTGTTTCTAGAAGGAGGAGGCTCGAGGTGCATGCAGCCCTACCCGTGTGAGGAAAGCTTAGTTGGCTGTGAGTGTAGGGCATAGGCTCGTGGTGGTAGGGCCAGTACAAGAATGGTGTATGCTGGACGTTGCGGTGGGATGAACATCATGCACGTCTTTAACCACAACCCTAGTACATGATCCAATCAACCGCTTCCAATACAGTGGCTAGCGAAGGCTGAGTCGGTCTACCAGCCAGCCACAACGTCTACCCACTACCATCACGCTCCATCCCCTACCTCAGCGACTCCCAAATAGGCAAGCATTTCGTGCGCCCCAATACCCGATGTCCTCCCGTTGAGCCACCCCGTATCTACCCGTACTCGCATACCCACCCTTCCCCATGTCCGCTGCCAAATCCCCCATCAAACATCGCGTACGTAAATAAATCCTGCTTATCAAATGCCACACCAAGCACCTACAAGCCTCACGCGCCCTGTGCTTTCCCATACCGCTCCTCCGCTGAATAATCGCGGGATGGGCGATGAGAAGAGCAAATAGCGTGCTGGCTAGACGCACGTAGGAAAATGATCAGCACAACGGATTGTGACGCGTGGGTGTCTCCGCGCAATTCATGGCGTTGTGATATGGAGTACATATCCCCATTTGAAGCGGCGATATTTCCTGTTTGTTGATGGAGAGTAGCATCAGCTTTTCCTCTTTCCTGCTTCCTACTTGCTTCTTTCCAGTTTGGAATTGAGGTACTTGCCAAGATCGGATATCGAGGCATTGTTTCAATTTTGATTACGGGTACAGTGAAGTTGCCAAGATATTAAGCTTTGTGGATAAGCTCTTCCTTCCAGAAGCATGTCGGCGCCTTGGTCAGAATCCGCCCCGCGAAGGAAAGCCAATTACAAAGTCCGCTTTCGACATGGTGTGTATCCTGATTTGGAAAGTCAGGCTACCAGGGCCGATATCAAGAAGTACGACTACTTCTTTGGTGCGGCGCAGAGATGGGTTGGTACGCCAGGAACATGTAGGTACAAGTCATGTGGTGGTCTTGTTGAGTCGATGCTAATGACTGTCTTGTAGTGGACTTTGTCGACGAATCGTCACTCATAGCTGAAGAGTTCGAGGGCCCCGGAAGTACTGATAAAAGGAAGACACCAAGACATCTGGTTCGCTCCAGGACGGCTGAGAAGATACCACAGTCGGTGTCGAGGAAGAGTCCGCAAGTAAGAGAGCGACACATGCGCCCGACGAGTCGAAGCTGGAATGGTCGAGTGCTCATACCCGCAGCACCACAGACCACGCCTGACCTATGGCAGCTTCCGTCGCATATCCGGCGACACACAAGCCCGGCACCTGGCTCAGTCTCAAGTCTCTCCAGCCTTGACGAGCCCCTGCCGGGAACTTGGAACTCTGATATCCCCTCGCCACATCCATTCGTTCCAACGAACCATGCTTCACCGGTAGCATGGCCTATACCTGACCCAATCGAAGCATATCTTTTTCGTTTCTGGGTAGAGAAAGCATCAGACGCACTAGACATAATGAGTCCTGCTAGCATCTTCAAGAATATCGTCCCAAAGCTCGCTTTGACAAGCCCGATGCTCATGAACGCCATCTTCATGATTTCCGGACAGTGTATACTGCGCTTCGATCCGTATTTCCCCACCAGACCATACGACTATCATGAGAGACTATTGCAGAGTCTCATACCGTATATTGCCGAGAAGGGACAAATTGAAGATGAGGCGACGCTGGTGGCCGCCATATTGCTGCGAAACTTTGAGGACTTCCATGGTACGTGAACACGAGGAATCGCGCGGAGATCAGCTGACATTCAAATAGCGGGTACACAAGGACAATCACATCTCTCGACGTTTGAACTCTTCTATGGTCCTGAAGGCTGGGTCTTCGATATGTCTAGCCCGGTTGTACAAGCTGCTCTAATACTCCATGTGCATACCGAAGTCAGCCAAGCATTGCTCAACCAACCCACTCTGCGCATTAATTATGAAAACTTCATTCTGCCAGCTCTAATATCGCCAATCGATGAAGTCTCGTGGGGAAATCGAATATTATGGCTGACTGCGCGCATCTTGCAGTGGGCGCAAAAGAGCGTGCGGACGATGGCCGAGTGGCAGTATCTTCACAGTTTGGTCGATGAGTGGGAAAGAAGGCGACCCGCAAGCTTCGATGCCTTCTTTTACCAGGAAGGCAACCCACATGCCGTTGGTGGAGGATATCCGGAATTGTGGTTCTCTGGCGCTTGTCATGGTGAGTCCAATTAGTCGTCAGCTCACGGACTGTTTGCTAACAGGCGACAGCGGAGGCGAACCAACAGCTGCGAATATGTCGCATTGCACTTGCAGTCTACAATCCAGGGATGAATATGCAAGGCGTACATGATGAAGTCTTGAGAGGTTTGAGAGAGATGATAGCTATCGCTCGGTGCAACGTTCATTGTATTTCTGCGCAATGGGACGCCGCGTATACAGTACATAAGTTTGGCACCGTACTGCAGGATGATCAGGACCGATGCAAGATGATCCAGTTTTTGGAAGAGGTGCAGACCACAGGCATGCCGACACGCACGTCGGTCGAGTATCTCAAAGAGCAATGGAACTGGAGATGGAACCATTACGCAGGAGAAATTAATTAATTCCGAAGAGCAAGAATGTGTTCGTAGCCAAGATCACCTGGTTAGAGAACCAGCAAGGAACAGACTGCCCATGACCACACCCAGGAAGGTGATGAGAATGATCCTGCCCTTGCCGGTCAGAGCGAGATACGACATGACGCCTACGATAAGCTCCCACCGTCGAGCTGCGTCTCTCCTGGCTTTCCACTGTGGGTTGACCTCAAAGGGTGGCCTGGAAAGAACGTCATTCACGCCCATCTTGATAGGCTTGTCATCAACGCGCACAGATAGAGCAACCGGTCGATGGTCGGACGTCGGCTGTACGGGCAAGGCGGTGTAAATTTGCGGCTCAAGGTCTGATGAAGATCCGGATGGGAGGTAGAGGATTCGGTCGCACCATGAGGGATACCGATGTTTCGACCACTCCCATGAGTCGTCCTCTCCAGATCGCTTGGGCGCGTTGGAGTTCTTGCCATGTGAGGTGGCGTACTTGTATGTAGGCGGGAAGTTGATAGGCATTTCTTGGAAGCCATGCAGGGTGCGTTTAGCGTCCTTTTCTCTCATCAGTTGGTCCTTCTTCAGCAGATGTGAGTAGTGTGTTGGCGACGATTCGGACGCTGTCGGCTGAGGGTATGATTGATGCGCACCCTCTTCTGGTGGGCTGTCGTGTGTGCGGTAGTTCAAGTCGCCGTAGAAGAAGACGTGGTTGCCAGGCGTAAAGAGACCGTTGTGGTCGGCTGGTGTCTCAGACGAGGGGCCAAGCAGCGGTCGCTCTTCGCTCGAGCTGTACGGGGAGTCATCGTTGTTGACAAAGACCAGGTTCCGCACCAGATTCTCCCAGTCTTTGTTCCGCGCGTCGATATTGCTCTCCATGGGCGCAAGATGGGCGGCCGCAAAGGTAAGATCGAGGGTATCTTCAGAGTCGGGGCACGAGAAGCCGACGCGCATGGCGACGGCGCCCTTGTTGCCCATGTTGGAGAAGCCGACACCTGCGCCTGCCGACTGTATCCATTGTATTCTCTGTATGACGTGGGGTTTCGCGAAGAGCATCAGGGCCGTCATGCCCAGGCTGCGCGTCGCGATGTGCTCGAGTGAGTCGCTGCCATTGCTGCGGAGGTCGGCGGCAAGCTGGACCGTCGTGGTCACGCGGTCAAAGTAGGGCTTCAGATAGGAGCCTCCGAGGAACGAGTAGGCGATGGGCGCAACCTCCTGCAGGGATATGGCGACGATGTCGGGCAGAGGCGTGTCTTTGGGGAGGGCGTCGAAGAAGGAAGGCGCGAGGGACTGGGGATCGACGAGGTTGCGCGCGGCATTGAAGGTAAGGAGGTAGAGTTCAAACATGACGGATCACGATGCTGTCGTGTCGCTGCAGACGCGTCGGTCAGCACAATTCCGGCTTGTTGAGGGCGATCACGATGTGGCTCCAGGGATGACGAGGGCGGGGAAGGTGCAAACGAGGGCTTGGAAGGTACGAACAGAGTTATTGCTGGAATTAACAACACACGTAAGACGTCTACAGGACAGGTAAGGGCATGCACGGGGAGGGTGGTGGTGCACCCGTGGACGCGTCTGGTGGCAGGCAAATGGCTGCAGCGTGGGGTAGCAGGCGGTCAGGATTTGCTGAGCTGCGGTAGTGCGGAGAGGACAAACGGCTAGGGCGGCTCCACTGAGCGCTCTGGAGGTGGAGTGCCAACCGCGACGGCGTGTGATTTCAATGGAGACAATCAACCAGACAGGCCAGGATGCAGTGTGCGGAGTGTGCGGAGGTGGGAGTGCATGCGGGATGGCCTCGCCAAATCCTGGCCCTGCATAGACCTGTCGTCAGAGGCGTCCGTCAACAAAACGCGGTGGGGGAAAAGCTCAAGCTCTTGGAAGGACCGAAATTATTTGCCAGCTGCTTGGGCATCGTGAGCTTCACTCCCAATCTCACTTGATTCTTCTTCTTCATTTCCCACTTCTTGCCCTGTTCTAGCTTGCTTCCTTCCTGAGTCGTATCACATTGACTCGAGAGCCTTCTAGAATCACCCCATATAATCTACTTCACCACGACGCCTACTTTCTCCTCCTAATCCAGAGCTTCTCTCTAACAACCGCGACACCCAATTGAATTGGGCATTCCACTACAGCCATGTTCAGATCTCAGGTTTTCCGTCAAGTCGCACGCGCGGCCAGAGCCCAAGCTCCCCGTGCCACCTTCAGACCAGCACAGTCAGCTATTTCCTCACAGCGACATTTCACGTCCTCGCCTAGTCGCTTCGACAAGGACCCCTCCAACGAGGATGATGTCAACGCTGCAACCACATCGGGCGAGCCAGGTGAGAGTGGGGAGCACGAGGGTCAGTATGCACGTACCCGAGACGACATTGTCGTCGAGTACCCAGAAGAGAAGGACCTACCACCTTCCAACCCCGTCGTGGGCCGAGGAGGGGAGCACTTCAAGCGCACGCTGGCTTCCTTCTCCATGGAAGGCAAGGTCGCTGTCGTCACTGGTGGAGCCCGAGGTCTGGGTCTAGTCATGGCGCAGGCCTTGGTGACCTCTGGAGCCGATGTAGCCATTGTCGACATGAACAAGGAAGAGGGTGAGCGGTCAGCCAAGGGCCTGCTCGATATCTTCAAGAAGGAGAACCCAGGGTCTCGGAGGTAAGATACTCACATGCAGCACCTACGACCTCAACTAAGTCAAAACATAGAATTCCCAAGGTCACGGCACATTTCTGCGACGTCTCGAGCCCGACGTCTGTCAACCAATCTTTTGCCGAGATCCTGAAGAAGCACGGCAAGGTCGACAACCTCGTTACATCGGCTGGCTTCACCGAGAACTACGATGCCATCTCCTACCCTCATGACCGCATACAGAAGCTCTGGGGAGTCAATGTTGACGGTACCTACCTGTACTCTGTGGCAGTCGCGAAGCACCTCATGGAGAGGAAGGTACCAGGCAGCATCGTCATGATCGGTAGCATGTCCGGAGCCATTGTCAACGTCCCACAGCCTCAGGCTCCGTACAACGCTGCCAAGGCAGCTGTCAGACATCTGGCCTCCAGTTTGGCAGTTGAGTGGGCTGGCGCTGGCATTCGTGTCAACTGCATTTCGCCTGGATACATGCTTACTGCGCTGTAAGTACACTGAGAGACGAAGATTGCGCAGTTGCTAACAAAGTTGTAGCACCAAGAAGATTCTCGACGACAACCCAGACCTTCAGAAGCAGTGGACTTCTCTCATTCCCGTTGGTAAGATGGGACGTCCCGAGGACTTGATGGGTGCCGTCACCTTCTTGTCTAGTGACGCGAGTTCCTACGTTACTGTAAGTGATGTTCAGCCGCACCGATGAGCAACAACTAACCAAACCCAGGGTGCCGACCTCCGAGTTGACGGAGCCTACACATGCACTTAAGCCAGGGCTGACAGTGGAGAAACGTGAGCGAGAGCGCAAGAATGTATGATAGAGTGAAGAAGTCCACCAGCTGGAGTGATAATTTGAGCGCAGTCTGGCGACAGAAGGCGCTATGGCAGCTTCAATAATAGTATGAGGATCTTCAGATAATCAACCATTGAAAAAGACGCGACCCACTCCCGTTTCTGTCCGCGTGAACTTGACTCTTGCATCGTCTTTGAAATTGGCGGGTGCGTCATAATCTTGGGCGGATCCTGAGAAAGCTGCCCAGCGCGTGTCTTAGTCATCCCGGTTCTCAGCCTCTTTGTGGCCGTGCGACTCCACCAACACCAGCCCTGCATAAAGCTCCAGTCCCTCCAAGGCGCTTCACGAGGGCTAATCTAGTCGCGTCATGTGGCATAAACAGTCACACAATACAGCATAACCGACCCTCACTCTGCTTCTTTGGCCGGCCCGAAGCCATGTTCAACATCTCGAATTTGGTGCAGAAGGCGCAGCAGTACATCGAACCCACGCTCAACACCATAGCCGCTCCCGCATCGTCAGACCGCCGACCGTCTAAAGCCACCCTCTTCCGCTACCAATTCCGCCTCCCCGACTCGCAGAACCCCCTCCAAGAGATTACCGCCGAGCTTACTCTTCAACCCCACCATTCCACGAGGGGCCCCGGCGACGTCACATCGGAGAAGGAGCGCAGTCAGGGCAACCACTATGTCGGCAAGCTGCACCTAAGCGAGCAGTATCTCTGCTTCTCCACACAGGGCTCAAGCTTCGCCAATACCGCGAGCCTGAGCTCCTCCAGCAGCTTCACCGGGCAGACTCACGGCGCGGGACCTGCGGGCAACGGTTTCACATTACCGCTATGCGGCATACGACGGGTGGAGCGGCTGCATAGTCAGAGCTACATGTTCGCACTGGCGATAACAACGTGGAACGGCATACCAGACTCGAAATCGCAGGTGCCTGCTGGTCAGAAGCTTACGATTCAGCTCGCGGGGTCGCGACAGGCCTGCGAACGCTTTTGCGATGCTCTCAAGAAGGGACTGAGAGAGGGCATCAAGGAGGTAGACAATCTGCGCAAGGTAGTGGGGCAATGCTACTCGGAGTATCTTCTCACAGACGCCGACCAGAAGAAAGCCGGAGATGATGGCAAGCAAGCGCGAGAACACCCAGATACCGGCCTAGGCATGATCTTCAAATATCCAGGCAACGCACGGAAGCTGAGGGATGCGACAAAGATACGGCTATGGCGCGAG